TCACCATACCAGTGCAACAACAAGGTGTTGCTAAATGTAATGGTAATGATTGTAGGAGAAATTAATTAGGTTGTGGGGGGGGGGGGGTTGCATCTTGTATTGCAATTTAAAAAAAATAAAAAATTGCAGATATAGGTTCTCCTGTAATATAGTTGTTGAGTTTGATTAACACAGAACTAATTTAACCATTTTACTAAATAACAAGAGACAAATATAAAGAATTCGAATAAGTTGTATTCTAATGTAAACTCCATCACAATATAGTTCACTGAAATACATTTTCAACTATCGGCATGCCCAGTGCAACAGTGCATGTTAGTAGAGGACATACAGCAATTTTTCAAAATTATGGCTAATACAACAAAGTATAATATTGACCAAATTTTAGAATAAAGAGATACTAGAAAAGGCAAACTTGAATGTAATTAGACAATTTTTAGAATACATTTCACTTTTGTAAAAACATTTGTCTGTTGTATGTGATACAAGTTAATTGTGAAGTGATTTTGTTTCAAAAAATCAATCCAGAATGTAAATAAATATATATAAATATGGGGTGAGTAAATAAAACACAAAAAACTTATCTAGTAATCCTCTCCTTCCCCCTAATGAATTTTTATACCAGCGTCCCTATTCATTTTTACCACAGCTAGTGGTGGTATATTGTCCACACATTGTATTGCAGCTACATCAGTTTTGTTTCAACACTCAAAGCCTCTTTGTGTGTTCTCAGCTCTATGTCTAATGCTTCTGTGTTTGTTTTAGCCTCGTTCCTGAACCGAGTGGTGTATCGGTCGCTTGCTGGTGAACTGTCACTGAAAGCTCAGAGCCTCAAGCCTGGTAAGCCTAATGGTGAGCCTCTGCTGATGGTAATAAGACTGTCCAGCGTTCCATTTCGTAAAGGAAATACTAATACACGTGTATTGATATAAAGTATATGACTAGTTCCATTTGAAAAAACCCTTCATTATTTCTCCTCCAGTAAAAGTAACCCGTACTGTAAGCTGACCATAGGGGTGCCTCAGTTGCCTACACCTCCCGCCCATCAGCCGCCGACACTCTAACCCCAAGTGGAACTTCTCAAACTCCCAGATTCTCTTAGTCAAATAGGACCTCTCTACCAGACGGTACCTGTTGATATCACTGTGTTCGAGAAAAGACCAGTTCTCACCAGATAGGATCAGATGGAAAAAAGAGATGCTTACTCCACATAATGGAGTTAATAAAGCTTTTTGTGGCAGTTTGTCCCGTCAGTTACAAATCAATGCGAACAGGACATAATCCTGACTGGATGCGAGGTTCTGATGATTCGCTTTGTTGTTTTTGTTGTTCTCTCTTTCTGTTCTGACGTGACTGTGTGTTTTCAGATATGAAAGCCCATGAAGCTGTTTTGTAAACATTGTCTCTAAAAAAACTAAGTCCTCTGCAGTTTTACTAAAAATGACTGTTTTTCTGCCTCTCCGATTTCCTGGGTCGCGACCGAAGTTCCTGTGGCAACCATCAAGGAAAGAGATGGAAAGCAAAGTGCTGCAAACCCGACGCCTACATTACTAATGGAAGTCCGCAACTGGACGAGTTTTGGGTGAAAACTAGACCTACAGCTTTATGAAACCCGCAAATGAGGACAACGCACACACCCAAACACTCCCTCAGCACAAATTCATTCTATAGTAATGAGACAGTTTTTCACAGTAAGCAAGAAACATTTTTCAAGATAGCCCTAAAAGGTTTCCTGTTTGCTAGAGTGCAGAGAAGAGAATGCAATGAAAAACCCATTCTGCTACTCGTTCTGCCCTGCAGCCATCGAGAACGTGACCTCAAAAAGAAAAGGAAGTTGAGACGAGAAACTGGGTTGAAATATCCTAGAATAGTAAGTTTAATTTGTGAAGACAAGGGAATTCTTGCTACAAATCAAAATCAAAAAAATGTGAACAGAATTGCCCAATACTTTAAATTGCCATGCCTTAAAATGTAACAGGAATTTTCCTAATGGTTACGAAATGCAATATTTTTATATCGATAGTACAATATTTTATAAGATACTATTTCACGTCTTAGTGGATGGAATACAGGCCTGTTCCTACATTGTTTCACATACCCTATATACACTTCACCCTGCCCTTTGTTGACACCACCACTGTAACATGTAATGTCAAGGTTACTTGACATCCTTTGCGTTAACCAAGTATGCCAATTAAATCTTTGAAAATTTGGCGTTGATAAAAAAGGAACATACAGTAAACATTTTCTTTGTTGTGGCGTAATGGATTTTACTACTTTCTCAACACATTGTTTGTTGACCAGAGTCCACCTGACACTTTCACTAGTAGGTTACCTGGGGAAAACTGAAAGTAGTTAAAAGCGAAATTGAAGGTGAAGATTGTGATGCTTTAAAACAAAGATTGTTAATTGAACGTAAGAAAAGGAACGTGAAGTTGCTGGTAAAACTTCCCACTTTTGTTGGGAAGAAACAAGCAGAAGCTGGTGCCTGAATGGCACCTTTCCCCCATCTGTTGGTGGGCAGTTGCGACTATGTGGTATTGGTTAATCGAATCTAAGCCCTGGATGAACACCTTTACGTTACTCCGTTCTCAGCACACAACACTTATTTACTGTAATCTTAACCTGAATTGTGTTGTCCGTTTGCATAATCCCTTACAGTGTTATAGAAAAACATGGTTAATAAATAAAACTAATTTCGTTTATGCGCGTAATATATGTACCCTGCTGAACTTCCCTTCTTTCAGCCTCATCCACCACACTGGAGTTTTTTTTCCGGAATGAAGTGATGAGGCCCTTGTGAAGGTTGTGCTTGGCC